ACCTAACAGTGTGGGGGGGGGGGGGGATTTTAGCTCATAATGTCACTTTAATGCACGTGCATTAAATAAATTAAGATGAAATATGAAAAAAACTATCGATTCCAGCTTCCAACTGCTTCCTCTAGGAGCCTGTGACATCACTTGACCTAAACGTTGCCTCCTGGGAGAACTGGGTACTTGAAATTCCACAACAATGCGCTGCAGCACTGTGCAGAAGGAGGTCAACAATGGAATGGAAGAAGGAGCAATGGAAGAAAGAGGTTAGCAATGGAATGGGAGAATGAGCAATGGAAGAATCAATAGAAGAAGGTCAGCAATGGAATGGCAGAAGGAGCAAGAGAAGAAGCAATAGAAGGAGGTCAGCAAAGGAATAGAAGAAAGAGCAATGGAAGAAACAACAGAAGAACGAGGTCAGCAATGGAACGAAGAAGAAGCAAAGGAAGAAGCAATAGAAGAAGGAGGTCAGCAATGGAATGAAAGAAGGAGCAATGGAAGAAGGAGGTCAGCAATGCAATAGAAGAAGGAGCAATGAAAGAAGCAAGTCAGCAAGGGAATGCAAAAAGGAGCAATGGAAAAAGCAATGGAAGAAGGAGGTCAGCAATGGAATGGAAGAAGGAGCAATGGAAGAAGGAGGTCAGCAATGCAATAGAAGAAGGAGCAATGGAAGAAGCAATAGAAGAAGGAGGTCAGCAATGGAATGGAAGAAGGAGCAATGGAAGAAGGAGGGCAGCAATGAAATAGAAGAAGAAGCAAAGGAAGAAGCAATAGAAGAAGGAGGTCAGCAATGGAATGAAAGAATGAGCAATGGAAGAAGGAGGTCAGCAATGCAATAGAAGAAGGAGCAATGGAAGAAGCAAGTCAGCAAGGGAATGCAAAAAGGAGCAATGGAAAAAGCAATGGAAGAAGGAGGTCAGCAAGGGAATGGAAGAAGGAGCAATGGAAGAAGCAATAGAAGGAGGAGGTCAGCAAGGGAATGGAAGAAGGAGCAATGGAAGAAGGAGGTCAGCAAGGGAATGGAAGAAGGAGCAATGGAAGAAGCAATAGAAGGAGGAGGTCAGCAAGGGAATGGAAGAAGGAGCAATGGAAGAAGGAGGTCAGCAAGGGAATGGAAGAAGGAGCAATGGAAGAAGCAATAGAAGAAGGAGGTCAGCAAGGGAATGGAAGAAGGAGCAATGGAAGAAGCAACAGAAGAACAAGGTCAGGAATGGAATGGAAGAAGGAGCAATGGAAGAAGCAATAGAAGAAGGAGGTCACCAAGAGAATGGAAGAAGGAGCAATAGAAGAAGCAATAGAAGAAGGAGGTCAGCAAGGGAATGGAAGAAGGAGCAATAGAAGAAGGAGGTCAGCAAGGGAATGGAAGAAGGAGCAATGGAAGAAGCAATAGAAGAAGGCGGTCAGCAAGGGAATGGAAGAAGGAGCAATAGAAGAAGAAACAGAAGAACAAGGTCAGCAATGGAATAGAAGAGGGATCAATGGAAGAAGGACGTCAACAAATGGAAGCTTCCATATTTCTCTTTTTGGGGTCAGTTCACGATCAGCTTGCATGGATTGGAATTTTTAGACACACGCGTAAATTATTTCATTTCTAGGTGCCGTATACTGTTAGGGTTGTGTTCAATTCCATCCAAATCATTTCACTCTTCATTAGAAAAGTTTTTAAAAGAGTCAAAAAAGATGAAAATCCAAATCCCTGATGAAATCACTTACAATGGATGCTACTCCCTGATGTTTAAAAATGTTAGTTTCCTGCAGAATCAGCTGGCCCCCTGAGCACTGGCCCTGATATCCTGTTTTATAATATGGAGCCACCCTTGTGTGATAGTAAGCTATGTGTCTCTCCACAAATACACAAACACAGCAGGGCAAGCCTCACCCCTGCTCCCCTCTCCT